CCGCTTGTCATCAAGGATTCATGGCAATATCCCGAGCGCGATGAGGAAGGCGATCTTCTGCGTGAGGTGACGGACAAAGGCATTGTAAATGTGGCCCGGTATTATCACCACGAAACGGTCCGGATTCGTGAGACAGAGGATGACATCTGGAACAACGTTCGACGTGGTCTTGATGTTACGGCAGCGACGAATTACCGGCCGGGACGACAGATACCACCAAGCAAGATGGTAAAAGATGACCCGCGGAAGGGCCGTCCCGGCAGCAGCAAGAAGCGGCCCTCCAGCCAAATCGACTCCGCCTTGCCCCCAAGCAAGCGGTCCTGCTCCATGTCTCCAACAAAGGTGCGAAGCACCCCACCCAATCGGGTTCATCGGCGCATCATTCTCCGGGATTACGGCAAACCCATCTACGAGGCGAGCTCTCGATCAGCATTGCTTGCTGCCCTGGTATGCTGCATTGACGCTCACGAGTCTTTGTTCAAGGCAGGCATTCTCCATCGAGACATATCCATCAACAATCTCATGATCAATGAGGATAGTCGCAACCCATCCTGGCCTGCCTTCTTGATTGATCTTGACCTGGCCATTCGAGAGCCAAGAGAAGGATCCTCTGGTGCAAAGGGAAAGACTGGTACGCGGGCGTTTATGGCAATCGGGGCGCTGCTCGGCGAGCAGCATTCGTTCATGCACGACCTGGAGTCGTTTTTCTGGGTGCTTTTCTGGATATGCATTCATTATGATGCAGATGGCAAAGATGTTGGCCCGACCGGGTTTGATAGGTGGAACTACGAGAGCGATGACACGTTGGCTGAGCTCAAGATGGGTGTAGTTGCTGACGAGCAATACTTTCATCAAAAGATTACGGAGAGCTTCACTACACAATACCAGCCACTAGTACCCTGGGTCAAGAAGCTACGAAGGGAAGTATTTCCTAGTGGGCGTAAATGGAACAGTTCAGAGCCTGGGCTCTATTCCTCCATGAGGCAGGTTCTTGACGATGCACGGAAGGATCCAGAAGTGCTAGCAAACACGTAATGTCATATGAGACTCTACACTGTAGTCAAATAAGTATAGCACGTTCAGCTAAGCTACGAAATATCGTTCTTGTTGCCTTTCCAACAACTGCCGTCCGCATCGCCAGAAATCGATAAGACGCAGATCGTCAATCAAAAGCTTGATACCCCCAGTGGCCTGTTCACCCTTTGAACAGTCGGTGGATCATTTGCGGTCTTGACAGACGATCATTTCGGATATGGGCGAAGACGACCATCCAGAGGACGCATTAAAGCAAGCAAAACCCCTTTGACAATCAATCATACCTCTGATGTCCATCCTCAGGCGAAGGCTCGCGGTATCAGCAAGAGGGCAGCGAGGGTGCACATAACCTCGACTGACGCCGAGGCCAACGGTATCATTTCATGGTAACCTTGACCGAACTCGTGTTCATAACTAGAGGAGGGCAGATCTAGGCAGGTAATTATCTGTAGTAATAGATTAGCACAGATGGGCTTAGAGGAGGCATTCGACAAGGCTGCAATTTGGACGGAGAGCACGGTCGTGGGAGGTTGCAAAGCGAGGCATTCTCACCTCGGGTAAATCTGACCAGTCTCAGAGAAGAAGTTCGTCTGTAACTGGTCTCGGTGCATGCTAACCGAGTGGATGATACAGAAGCCGGGTATTTTTGACCATATTTTGTTTCGATCCTCTAGTGTGTTGTGTACGCTTTTCGCCGGCATCAGCATATTGCGCGGCTGCAATGTAATTACGACAGCTATTATCTAGAAACTATTGACGTCTTTGTACATCATAAAATGCGCCTTTGGGTAAACACTCCGCCGTACTACGAGGTTACCAACCGTCTTCATCCTCTTATCCCAACCAAGCAACAGCAAGGCAGGTGGGGTTCCGGGTTAAGGGTGGACTCGCGTCAATGCTTGCTGATCCCATGTCCCGGTCGACCGTTCCTTCGCCAATACCTCTTTGCCCGCCGTTTAGATCTGTGTTGCCTTGTAGCAGAGGACGAATTTGATTAGCCGGTGTGTGTGCTATTCCCACCAGGAGCGGATACAATCTCTAGGTATAAGAGCCACGTTCTCGCACAACTGGGTCGTCGACTGACTCCTACTTCACCTCACTTTTCCCCTTCTTAAGACCTACTTATCCGCCATTTTGAATCATTCCTCTGCATCACAGGCTCTCAAATGTCTTACGTCAGATGGTCCAGCATCCCGACATACGAAACCCTATTCGAAGACCTTGGCTACACTACGCCTAGCGAAAGGAAGAAGATCAAAGCGAAGGTCAGAAAATTCAGAAACACGTATTCAGCCGCCAGAAGTCTCGAATGCAAAGGCTTCACCAACTCGCACTTGGCCGAACACCAGAAGGAACTTGGTGACATTGTCGATGCCTTTCTGAATAAACACGCAGAACAGCTGTGGCCGTCCGACGAACATGCATCTCAGCATAACAGACTACAGTACCCTAAAAACGAGACTGAGTGGGTCCATACCATAGGAATCTAGTCGGACAGGAATTGACATCGGTGTGTTTCAGGATTAGAAAAGTGATCTTCAAAGTATTTTGTCGCCAGACTTACTGGGCAGGGAAATACTCGAAGAAGCGAGAAAGGCAGACAACGAAGGCGATGGACAACCAAGACTCCGAAGACTTCGAAGACGACGATCCAAATCCGGAAGACACAGACCGTACGGTGAAGGACGTCTCCAGCCACGTTGTAGGCGGGCACCTTGAGACCATACATGTTGCGCCTGTAACCACCGCGACAATCCTGCATACACCATGCATGGAAACATCGATACACAGATCTACGAAACGACGCGCACCCCCTGTCCGCGATGCTACACCTGCAAAACGAAATCGACGACGTCTTACAGCGTACATGAGCCGTAGGTCATTCCAGGACGATAATACCAACACCTGCCACGAGCAGGAGAATACCGTGGTAGCCGAGTGTCCGGCTCGAAGCTCATATGATCAGCCGTACGACAACGCAGACTCGGCCGACGGCCCCTCAATGTCAGCGAGTAAAGCTCGTGCCGGAACTAATTCCACTTGCTCAGTCGAATCTAGTATTGCCGACGAAGCCGAGCCCGTCCCAGATTTTCGAGCCTCGAAAGCAACCGCTGGACAGCAGTCGCCAGTTGGAGAAGATACTACCCGTGCTGTGTCCACGGACCAAGCTCTCGCAGAAACGGGCCCAATCGAGAGGACGACTGCGACCACTCAAGAAGAGTCGATCGCAGAAGCACAGGCAGCGAGAAGCTATGATCCGGTCTTACCTGTCTCACATAGGTTGATCCTCGGCGGCGAGGGAACGCGAATTTGGTCCGGTATGAACAAGACAGTTCAGTCTGCACCAGAGGTTGAGTTCACCTACGGCATTACCATCCAGTACCCACTGCACCTTAGGATACCGTGGACCCCCAGGGGTCACCTTGCTTTCAAAACCCTTACCGACATGGAGACTGAACTCAAGACAGTGCTGGAGGAAGGCTTGACCCGAACGACAGGCAAACAGGACTTCACTGACCTGAAGGACTTCCGGATTGAGTCGTGGCGTTTCGATATAAGTGGTCATGGCGCAATTTTAGATTTCGACGTCAAGGGTGGGATAGAAAAACAGTTCGACCACATGAAGAGAAAGGCAAAGCAGGAGATGCAACTAGCGATTCAGAGGTCACCGGAGTCGAGACCGTCGTTCAATATCGAGATTCAGATAGTCACCAGCCGAGATTCGGGGATCAGGCAGACGAGCGGCCGCAGCTTTGATTGGTAGCCTTTTATGTGTTAAATCGGATGTGTTTCCTTAGATGGAGAATCTTATCTTTCCTGAGACGAAGGTGGCCCGTTACAGTAGAGTTAACCTACTTTGTTGTAGGAGTTGCAAGGAGCAACAATCGGATAACAGAGGAAATTACACGTTCTGAAGAACGTCTTTATATCAACGTTGAAGATTTGGCCCGGGCTTCCATAAGCCAAAGCGTCGTCAGTCCACAAAATCCGCTCACGTAAAGTCAGCAAGGTGCTCTGGAGGCTTTTGATCTCGTTCCACCATGGAAGGTAGTCCTGACTGCCCCCGTAGTTTCCTATATGTATGGGTTCCATGTCGACTTGTTCAAGTTTCCACTTCTGTAGGGTAAGGCACATGGCCTGGAAGAAGTCGGAGGAATCATGATATCTGTCAGTAGATGTGGATGTCCTGCGTTGACCTGAAGAAATGCCGAGGAGCTTTGGGCGTCCCGAGAGAGGTGTGGTCATTGAGTCCGAAGCTCTCCGAATTTATATCTGGCTGGAGCTCTGCAGCTGGGAATGTCGTTTTGAAGGCTTTCGGCTTCTTGGTTGAGCATCTATACTAATTCAAACTTGCGTGAAAAAGTCTAGGTCGATCCCAAATGATGGCGCCTTACAGAAAAGTCTCCAAACCTCCACTTTCATAGACGCCTCTGCGTGGAATTTCTGAGGTTTCGAGCGGCCGACAAGACCTGTCTATACACCAGCAGGGTTATCAGATCAGCAGTCAAAGAACGACCTCCAGTGACACCAGGGGAATTTGCGAGCAGCCGGCTTCCGTTCAGCCACTCTCTCCTGCCCAGCAACAATCCAGATTCCCCATTGTTTATGGATTGGGACGTTTGGGGTGCAAGGTGGTTATGGCCGGACAACAACATGATTACGGGTCAAGCGTCTTACATAAGCTTTCCGGAATGTAAAGACCCCACACTCTATCGCCAAACTGAATTCGAACTCGAGAAAAGCCAGTGCATTTCTGCCCGACGGCGGCTGGTGATGATCGAATAAAGATTTGGTCCTTCAAGGCCCTTCCGTCATCCACTAGCATGTACTTCTTCGCAAAACCAGCAAGAATCGCGAGCGACCGCGAGATGGGAACGAGGCGGTGGAAGCAGCACATCATATGTCAAGGCTCACCGAGAGTTCATCTATTGTAAAGCCCGATAGGATGAAGCACTATAATTATGGGGATTCTCCAGCAGGCTGACTAGCTGCTGAGCGCCATCACATCCGGGGAGATGAGTACCAGCGGTTTAGAGAATAAGATCGGGGGGCTCTTGGTACGATTTGATTATTAGATGTGAGGAAGTGGTGTGTTATCTGTTTGGCTTGCGAACGATGAAAGCAAGCAACGCAGGATAATCTTCCAAGAAAGAGTATGTTGTTTGTTTGTTACTTTGCCACCGATCTCGCTTCACATGATATGGAGTGTAACAACTGAGATGCTGAGATGGATTGAGTGAATTGAGTCGACGTTGTTGTACACGGTTGAAAGAAATATCTCTTAGTCCCAGATTAAGCCAGGGTAATTCCAGAAGAACGCAATTGCCGAGCACGTGAAAAGAATGTAGGCTGATGCAAGTGTGTGAAGACCGATTGAGTTGGATGGAACTGAAGGCAGGAAAGCAATTGGATTGCCTAGTCACCTTGAAGAGTAGTATGAACCTTGAACAGTCTCATTTCATAAATCTGCTTTCTCGACCCGGCTCTGATCTTGCGCTGATGATTCTTCGAGTGCAATGCTTCGAGTGCACTGTCCTCTCGATTTTGTGTCACGACGATTGAATCGTAGTCGACTTGCCAGGATCGGAACCTGTGAGGTAGTTCAGAGCCATTTCTGCGGCGTCCTCCCTTGCATTGTTCAAGTTCTTCCCGTCGTACCAGAACCGGGCCGAGAGCGTGCGCCCGTGGACGGTCACCCGGCTAGACAAAGCCGTGCGTCCTCCTGCGAAAGAGTCAGTACCGCTCAAATAGCCAGC